GCTGAGGCACATACCTGTGAAGGCTGTGGTGAAGTACTTTCGGTAAAACACATTCTTGTTGAATGCCCATCTTTACATCAGAAAAGAGTAAACCATAGTATAATCAATGTCCAACGAAAAGAAATGCTTGAATACAATTCAATTCATATTGCGAAGGTTCTTACCTTTTTTAGTGAAATTGGATTGTTAAATAAAATTTAAGGTAACATATGTGATACAAACTTTGTATTACAAAGTCCCATTTTATTCTATGATGTTTTGCGGTGTAGTATTATATTAAAGTCTCATTCGTTAAAGGAGAGCTTTTTAGCCGGTAAGAGTCCGTATTGTTAGGGTGTCCATGGGGATTTTCCTCTCCAGTTATGGTGCCAATGACCGCAGTTGTCGCACCTTAATTAAAAAAAAAATAACAAAATAAATCATATATTCCTTGTAAAAACGGCTTCGACGGCAAAATCTACCTGTACGACGGCACGACCAGCGACCTCGTCGGCGAGGTCGGCGCTCCCGTCCCGACGCGTCGCGACGGCAAGCGACTGCTGACCGCCAGCGGCGAAAAGACCGCCAAGCTGTGGGACGTCGGAAGATGAACAGGTGACGACGGATGGAGTTGTCCGTGGTAAACGTGATTTTAATGTTTTTTCCTTACGTGCCTTGTTTATGGCAAAACGAGTATCTTCTGACCGTCTCTTTGAGCGGTTTTATCAACTATTTGAATGTCAACAATCCCGGGAAATGTCTGAGGGTAATCAAGGGTCACAATAAGCCAATTACTGTCTTAACTTTGTCTGAGGATCGCTCAAGTATATTCAGGGTCTCATGATGGTTTTGTCACCAGGTAACTATAAACTTGTGAAATTATCAACGTTGTTAAGGGGTTTGGGCAGTACATAGTTGCTTTTATACTTAATAACATTATATTAAATTTGATTTAAAAAACAGACAATTTTCCAACTAATTTTATAATTATTTTTTATTTTAATACAAAATATATTGTAACAAAAGGATTCAAACGCGACAACATTGCGAGTTGTTGAAAGTTTGTTTCTAAGACAAAGCTTTTTGCTTTTGATAGTGGCAGTGACAGTTATATATGTAGTGTTATTTAAAATTTAAAAATGAGTTGTGAAAAAGAATAAAGTCCTCTACAAAGAAAAATTATTAAAAAAAAATGTATGGGAACAAAAAATAAAGCCACAAAAAACATGCAGTATGTTGAATGCAGCGAAAGTCTAAAGAGAAGAGCAGAAAACAAAGAGTAGACTTAGGCACTTCTTGCCTTGACCCCTTCAATTAATTTTTGACAATTTTTTTAATTTATGCCCGTGAAATTCTTTTTTATATATATGTTACCGGCAATGTAAAAAATCCGGCAATGTGCGAAATGTCTAGATACTCTACAAACTGACCAATTTACCAGACATTGTGCAAAATCACTTCCATTTTGGGCAATCTGCAAATTTTGATGCTAGGGGTAGGTGGGTTAGTACGCTGTTAGAGCCTATCCTTATGGTGTACTTCCTGTTCGAATGTATCTCTTCCCCCTGTTCGTGTTGTATTTCGATTTCAACGTTAAATACGTCCGATGCTGTTGTTTTGATTCCCTTCCCCCCATACCCCTTTTGTGTTTGATCATTAAAGTATGCCTCTGTTTAACGTCCCATGTCTGTAATGTGTGCTTTACGGTGGAGTTGGTCTTGGAGGTATGGCCTAAATGTCTCTAAGTTTGTCCTTGTCTGTGTCCCCAGGCAGTTTACGTCGTGTTTTTCAAACATTTTAAGTTCCCCCTTTTTTTTTGTATAAATTATTGTGGTGAATTTCTAATTAATTCTTTGCGTGTACTTATTAAAATGTAGTTTTATCAATGCGTTTTATTGTTCTGTCCCGTTTGTTGGTGCTTTAATTGTCTGTTCAAATTCAAATTTATTAATTTTCAAATTCAAATTTATTAATTTTCTTAAACAGTTTTACACAATAGGTACAAATTAATTCAGGATACATTGTAAATTTTTTTTAACAATATCATTTAGGATTTCCATTTTTTGGTTTGTCACCTAAGCGTTAAGCTTGTGTGTGAGCAAGCCAACCTAAAATTAATATCTATTATGTAAACGTAACTGCGCTACCTAAATTTATATACACGATAATTATTAGCCTAAATACAATTATCAATAAAAAAAGAACAAGGAAAATAGGGGAGAATACCTATTTTATTACTTATATTATATTTACATTACCGAGAAAAGCAGAAACCAAAGAATACATACAATAAATAATAATATAAAGTCGACAATTTAAATTTAAATGGACATTATTTTAAAAAATATTTCTTCATTTGAGTTTATAAAATTTACCAATTGGGATTTATACACTTAAGTTTTATTTATGTTTAGCAACTCCCTGGGCAGGACGTTGCAAAACTTTGGGGCATAGAAAAACACATTCCTTTGAGTGACACTTTTATTACAAAAAGGTGTGGCTATAAAGTTAGATTGTCTGGTTTCATAGGTTTGATTTTTAATTGTTTTGTGTTTGCTCATCCATAAAATAGACTGAAGGATGTATATCTTTCTAACGCTCAAAATATCAGCCTCTTTATATAATAGATTTGTCGGGTATAAACGTGGTTTTTTAAAAATTAACTTTAAAATGTTGTTTTGAGCTTTCTCTAGTGAGTTTATAGCATTTTTATAGCAACCACCCCATATAACTATACAATATCTTAAAATAGACTCTACAAGTGCATTATATGTTATTTTTAAGTTTTTTTCATCCAAAAATTGTTTTAAAATTTATTGACGAGAATTCTAAGCTTCTTTACCAGGCTGTCCAAGTGTTTATCCCATTTCAAATGCTGATCAATCTCTATTCCTAAGTATTTAATAAATTGAACTTTATTTATCACACTACACGAACAATTGTGCATGTTATTACAGTCACTAATATGTATTTTTAAACTAGTTGTAAAAGGTTGATCAACCTTTGTAGCAGAAAAAGTCATGAATTTAGTTTTTGAGATGTTTAAGCTCAGAAGACTTTGATTTAAAAACGCATATATGCGTTACCATGCAAAGGATATATATATCCTTTGCATGGCCAGCTCAGCCCTCCCAAAAACTCCTTTCCACGTTTCATCCTCAAAAATTACTGCAGTGTCATCAGCGTATGAAATAATGGTTCCGTTAACCTTTAAGTTACCTAGAAGATTAATATAAATTAGGAATAAAATTGGCCCCAATACTGTCCCCTGGGGCACACCCATAAAGACAGGAAGGGGGTCACTCTTAACATTGTTAATTTTGACACTCTGAAATCGATCTTCAAGATAAGTGCGAAAAATATTTAGCACGGAACCACGTATCCCAATAGCTTCCAATCTTTCCAATAAAATTTTAAAGTTAACTGTGTCAAATGCCTTCGCCAAATCCAGGAAAATGGCGAGGCATTTTTTATTTTTGTTGTTTGCACTAATTATTGTTTTAAAAAGTTCAGTCACTGCATCTTCCGTGCTTATGTTTTTCTGAAAACCGAACTGGTTTTTGTTTAGGATATTATTTTTAGTTAAAAAGTTAATTAAACGGGATTTTAGACAATGTTCAAATATTTTTGCAAAATTATTTATTAATGTAATGGGTCTATAATTTGTTGGTGTTTTTCTGCTGCCGTTTTTATGAATTGGAATTGTGGTAGATTCTTTAAATTGTTTAGGTGTAAAGCCTTTTGAGAAACATAAATTAATTATGTGAATTAGGGGCATTGAGAGATAAGTATGACAGTCTTTTATTAATCGTGCCGTTATATTGTCAGGGCCAGGGGCTGCGTTTGATTTTAAGTTATTAATTATGGAAATAAGTTCGTTTTCTGTAACTGCATGTAGAAAAAGTGAGGATTTGTTTATGCTTTGTATTGGTAAGTTAGGCAACTTTTTAATGCTACGGGCCAATATTAGTAAAAAAATTATTAAAGCAATTTGCAACTTCTTCGTTGTTTTGAACAATTTTACCTTTATTATTTTCTAATACAAAATTTTGATTAGTATTTTTTTCATTATTTGTGGCTTGGTTAATTGTTTGCCAAATTTTTTTGTAGTTTTTTTGTGCACTTTCAATTTTAGTTCTATAAAAATTATTCTATAAAAATTATTCTTAATGAGTTTGTTAAAATAGTTTCGATAGTATTTGTATTCATTGACCTTCTGTATACTACTGTCTTTACTTAACTGTTTTTTTAATAAGTCGCGATGACGTATAGAAGTGACCAATCCCTGAGATATCCACGGCTTTAATTTTCTATATTTACTGTTTATAGTTTTAACTTCAGTATTTTGTTTTATAACTTTATTTAATTTTCGAATAAAAAAGTCATAACCTATCTCAGGATTGTTTTCATTCATAACATCCTCCCAGTTTTCGTTTTTCAATACATTTTTTATATTTTTATAATTTAAAATTTCTAAATTAAAAGTAACACTATTTTTATTTTTTATTTTTTCAGCGAATTTAAATTGTAAAAGAAGCATAAAGTGATCAGTTAATGAAGTTTTTAAAATAGCTGGTTTAATTTTTAAATTATTTTCACTACATCTAATAAAAGCATGGTCTATTATAGATGGTTTTTTAAGTTCTTTTACTTTAGTAGGTTTGTTTATGTAAGAGCAAAAACAAAATTCACCTAAAACCCCCAAATATTCGTTTAAACTATTTATATTGTTCGCATTTTCCTCTTCTAAAATATTAATATTAATATCGCCAATAAATATTTCAACTTTTTGTTTCGTAGGATAAAGTTCCGAAAAATACCTAGCCAATTCCTTTATATATAAGTCTTTATTTATAGATGGTGGTCTATATGAGCCTGTGACTCCAAATGTGATGTTATTAATTGCAAATGTAAATCTTAAGAGTTTAGTTTCTGTACAGGTAAATATATTTGTTTCATAAGAAATGAAGCGTTCGGGGGAACAAGGTACATAAGCCACATTTTTACAAAAATGAAGAAATCGTCACTGACAGTTGCCTCAACATAGGCGTAAGCCACACAACAAATACTCTTTAAAAAATAACAAGAGATGGCGACACCGTGTCAAAAAGTTCTTGTTCCTCAGTCGTTATTTTAGGTTGATTTTTAGTCAACAACGTGACAAGCCACAAATAATTCATCATGGCGGACAGAGAAGAAGTCTCATTTAAGCGAAAAGTGTTTGAAAGTGACTCAAGTGCTAGTGAAAGGGATCCTTATTTTGATTCAGACGATAGTGAAGGAGACAAAGACTATGCTCCAACAGATAGTGACTCTGATTTTTTATCAGAAAATGAATTATCGGTAAGTAATAAATACTGTGGCTTATGCCCTTTTTGAGTAAAAAATGGAAGCCTTCGAGGTAACAAAGCAATAAGCCATATTTGGTTTAAAAAATCTCTATAATTTATAATAAATAAATTTTATCGAAATTTGTATTTAAACATTTAAGGATAAATTGAAAATGCAATTTTTTTTATAAACTAAAAGTGGCTTATTTTGATTGATTGATTGATTGATTTGATGATTAGGCTGGGTTGCTTGGGTGCTTAGATTGGTTCGATTTTTTTATTTTCGTTCAGATTTATGATTATAACTTATAACTGTATAAAATAAAAAATAAAATAAAAAACCGGAACGGTTCTTGGTTTAAAATCTTAATTTTCGCTTTTATTTTTAACAGACTTCTCAAGACGATTCGCAAGATGATACAGTATCAAGAGGGGTTTTACAAACACCCGATAAAGCAACTCCATCTCGCTGGCGAAAAAGTAATATTGAGTGTAGAAAGAAACAAAAGGCTAAAACTAAAAGGAACCTAGGGTACAGTTATGAAAGCAGTAGAGGAAAAAATGTTATTGATAGGAAGATTGGTTCTCCTTGTAAGTGCAAAAGAAAGTGCAGAGAGCTATTGCATGGAAGGGAAGGTCACATTTTTAATACGTTTTGGGATTTAGGTACATATAAAGAGCAAAATATGTATATATTTGGGTCTATAAAAGCTATTCCTAAAAAACGCTCATACAAAAAAAAGACAAAGAGACAAGAATCGTCTAGAAAAGTAACATATCAATATTTTGTTAAAGTGGATGGAGTAGACATACAATTATGTAAACAGGAGTACTTATCAGTACACGGATTACAGAAATCTTCTAAACGGGTTCGGCTTATTTGCTCTCAGATAGCAGAAGGAAGAACTGTTCCAAAAAGTGATGAACGAGGAAAACATCATAATCGAGCTAATAGAATACCCTTGGAGCAAGTACAGTCGGTTCATGACCACATCAAGGCATTCCCAAAATACGTAAGCCACTATAGTCGGAAGAAAAATCCCAACAGAATATACCTTAATCATGATATTTCAATATCTGGACTATATAAGGATTTTTACCTGGACTGGTGCAAAGAGAGAAATATTATGCCCGTACGAGAAGATAGATACAGAAGGATTTTTTGTAACGAGTACAACATTGGTTTTAAGTTACCAAAGAGTGACACGTGTCACACATGCGATTCATTAAATATATTAATTCGGAATGAAGAAAATAATAAAAATGAGGAAGAAGTAAAGAAACTTAAAACACAGCTAGAGTTGCACCATAGAAAGGCTGACGCAATGCAAAATAATTTAAAAGAAGAAGTTAAATCTGCCAAAGCTAATAATAACAAGTTAGTTATAGCTTTTGACTTGCAGCAAACTCTTCCAACGCCAAGTCTCACTGTTGGTCCCGCATTTTACTTACGTAAAGCTTGGACCTACAATTTAGGTGTTCACGATTGTGTGACTGGAAAAGGAAGTATGTTCATGTGGACAGAATCCACGGCCAAGCGGGGAAGTGAAGAAATAGCTAGTATTATTCTTAAATACATATTCTCTAGAACAGCAACAGGTCAAAATGAACTTGTTATCTTCACAGACAACTGCGGAGGCCAAAATAAAAATTGGCTTATAATGTCTTTGTGGCTCCAACTTGTAAGAGAAGGTAAATTTAAAAGTGTTGAGCATAGATTTCTAGTATCAGGACACACTTACTTACCATGCGATAGAGATTTTGCTCTTATAGAGAAACATAAGCGATTTCTAAGACAGGTATATTGTCCAGATGATTGGTATACAGCAGTGTTAAAATGTAAACGAACAAATCCATTTGAGGTGACCATTATGCAACAAGAGGATTTTTTTACATTCAAAAATATCACTGTAGTGCGAAAAAATATTACTGATGAAAAAGAGCCACTCAACTTTAATAGAGTCCGATGTTTTCGCTTTGAATCTAACAACCCCAATGCAATGTTTGTGAAACACGAACTCAATGGGCTATTTAAGAAAGTAAATGTTGGAAAAAGAGGAAATAAACTGAGTGCAGTTAATAACATTCTCAACACTTTAAATAGGAAATACGATGCACCTTTAAAACTTAATTGCAAAAAAGTTGCCGACCTAAGGAAACTTATGCAATTTATACCTCCAATCAACCAGTCCTTCTACTTAAATATTTTTGAAATTTCTGGAGAGCAAAGTAATAATATAGAAACTGAAGAACCCGAGGACGACGTAGAATGTGTAGATGGAGATGAAATTTTGGAATTTGAAGAAGATGACTAGATAAATGCCAGTTGTTTTTTAGAACGTTACCATTTAAGTTTTATAATATAACCAAAATATATTATAATATATTATAACCAAAGAATATAGACTTTAGTTTATTAAATTTAAAATTTAATGTGTTTTTCTTTTAATCAAAAATGTATACGTTTCTGTTCGTTAAAAAAAGGCACAAGCCACATTTTTTTTATAATGTTGTTGATATTTTTTTTCTAATAAAGTTTTTTTATTTTGTAGTACCAAAATATGATTTTTAATTGCCCTTTATAACATTATTCTATGAAATCGCCCGTCGAAAAACTGGTACCTGATTTCAGGATTTCACCAAAACCTTTAAAGTTGATTATCTCGAAATATGCCAGATGTGGCTTTTGTACCTTGTTCCCCCAAACGCTTCAAATATATTTCTTAATATAGACTACTACACCGTCATTTTGATTTACCTTGGAATTATTGTACAAAATATTAAAGTTTGGAATATTATAATCACTTACCTCCACTATATTCCATGTTTCTGTGAGAACAATAATGTCAATTTGACTTACATTTAACTCTTCTAAATATATTATAAATTCATCAAAATTATGGTTTATACTTCTTATGTTAACGTGTATTACATTTAAAGAGTTTTTATTTATTTTATTTTCAGTTAAAAAATCATGTATAGTTTCGTATTCCTTGGTATCAATTTCCTCGGCATTAACAAAATCAAAATTATTATTAATCTTAAAAGAAATATATTTTTATATAAAAATGAAAAAACTTAAAAGTAAATAGGTTAACCCAAAATGGTGAGCAAAAAACAAAATCAAAAACGCTAGCTCCACTTTGGTTTATCCAATAACAAAAGAAAAACAAGTAAATAAAAATTCACATTTTCTATAATTCCAAAGGTTTATGATGAAGGATCCTTATTGATATTCTAGTAGTTGTGTTTTGATTCTTTAATTTTACAATTTTATCATCGATCTTCGTTAAAATGTTACCATCCATTGTCCAGACGTTTGTTTTTCCGAGCAGAGATTTTGCTTCATTTAGAAGGTCAAGTCTGATTTTCGTAAGATCTTCACAAATATAGATTTTTTTATTTTTAATTTTTTTAAAGTTTTTCATCACTTCGCTTTTATTTTGGTGGATTTTAAACTTAACAATAACTGGACGTGGTTTTTCATTATTTATATGATATCCAATCCGATAGGCACTTAGGTTTTGCTGAGAAATGATTGGCACTGCACATTTTAAGAGATCAGCTGCTTTATTTGAAATGTTTTCATTTTTTTCGTCGGGGATTCCATGTATGCAAATATTGTTTACTTTCTCAGCCTGATACATATAGTCAATTTTTTGTTCCAATGTATCGATTTGTTGTTCAAACTTTTTTATACTGGCTTCTGTTTTTTGTTCGTGAAGGTTGAATTTATCGTACATTGTTTTAAACATACTTGCTATAAAATCCTTATCACTGAATATTTCAATAATGGAATCTTTGATGGTTTGTTTTAATTCAGCTTTTTCTTGTTGACTCCTTGTCAGTGCCATTTGTATAACCAATAATGATTTCCACTACACTTTAACCGACTTTAACTATACAGTTTTTATAATTTCGGAATTTATTTCACTGTACTTATTATTTTAAATATAAATTTCTACGGAGCGCGTATTGATTCGTCTTACTCGTCGCGCGCCATATGAATGAATGAGTGGTATGTTTATCTTTTTATGTTTGGTTTGGGTTTATTGAGATTTATGAGGTCAGGTTGGCGTTTCTTTATAGTTTAGTCGAATTTGTTTGGGGAATATCTTAAAGTCTATGTTATGGCAATCCATTTATGGGTCGATGTCAAGCTAATGACTTATGAGACCGTTGGCGCCTGGTTGCCAGATGTAAATCATGGTAATTAGCAGTTGCAATTTTGCGTTTGGATTAGAATTTAAATTTAAGTTTATATTAGAATTTCAGTATTTTTTTTAGTCATGCAATTAGATAAATAACTTATCCGAATTAAGTGGCTTTATGTTCTGCAGAATTGACACTGTCGCGCGGCCTGCCGCGGCACGCCGTTCTTTGATCTTGACCGCTTCCACTCGCTATTGGCACATGTTGTATGTGTTGATAATCCAGGTAAATTTTCGTTGTGACCTATCTCGCACATTTTTAAGCCCGTAGCTCTCTATGTAACTTAAAGCGGGAAAAAACACGCACTTTTAACTCCTATTTTATTTGTTTTTTATTTATTAATTAATTCTTTTTATTGTTTATTTTTTTAGATTTTCTTTTGCACTTGTATTCCATTGACTTTAACACTTTCCCCGTTGTGACACGGACGCGCCTGTCGAGCGCTGGTTTACAACCTCTTGCCTCGAGGTCTAGAACGATAGTGGATAACAATAAACGATTTTTTATCTTAAAATTTTGGATTGTTAGAGTGTGTACCTTCTGGATTATTTCTATTTAAACATATGCCCAATTTTAGTAAAATATTTTAATATTTCTATTTTGAAAACATGCAACTAAAAAAGTTATAAGATTGAGTGATTAAATTTAAACCGCTTATTACAACCCAATAAAATTGTCTTATCTAAAAATGTTTAAAGTAGGTATGTTCTACATGTACAATTAATGTTTATTTGCCTTTTTTTTTAAGAATTTTTAATAAAAAATAAAATTCATTGTGCACATTCTATAATACATTAAATAATAAAACTAATTGTGCACATCCTATAATACATTAAATAATAAAAACAATTAAAAGTATTCGAATAAATCTCTGACTAAGTCGCGCTATCGAACTTACAGCGTTTAGTTTTAGTTTAGTCTGATTGAGTGATTAAATTTAAACATTAAAAAATGAAAACAATTGATTTAAAATTTTGCAGGAATTTTTTTTATGATTTGGAACCGATTTGGGGGGCGCCTCTATTAAATTTTTTTCTACCCCTAAATAAGGATCACCCTAATATATATGTTATCATACAAATTTATTTGCCTATATGATATCATAAACACAGTTTATTTATTAGGCTAGGTCAAGTGGAAGAACAACAGCCATGTGGCAATTTTTGAACTTCGTCTATTGTTATATTAATTTAACGATAAAGATATTTATTATTATTACTACTATTATAAAGAATCGCAATGTGCTAAGAAATAAACTCTTCCGTGCAGTCGATGCCCTCACTATTTTTTAAATGAAGAAAACTAAGCAAAGCGAGTTTCCAAACGTTTCCTGAAAAGAATGTTCATGTTTCAGCTATTGTTACAACATTCGTTGAAACCCCTAACTATAACTATATTTCATTGATTTGGTTGGATATAATTACCTATAATATAATCGATGTACATTGTACATTAATTCAATTTAATATTAAAATATGTTTATTAATATGCACTTTACTTTGCGTTATGATTTACAAAATTTAATAAAACATAATTTAAAAGAATTATTTTAAAAATAAATAAATATACAGGGTGTTTCATAATATATGCGCAGGACTTCAGGATGTGATAGCTCAACCAAAAAGATGAAATAAGTCGCTATTAACTTACCCTCTAAAATGCACAATTTTCGAGATACAGGGTGTTGAAATTTTAGAAAAAAAATCGTTTTTTTCGATTATCTCTGGAACCGTTTATCGTACAAAAAACAGCTTTTGTAAGCATTTTCTACTCATAATAAGCTATGTTTTGTGCCAGAAAAAATTTTTTTTTACTCATAATTGGTGGAGATTTTGAAGGGGTAGCGGGTGTTTTTCTCCTCAAAATCTACGCCCCTGAAAAAAGTACGGTTTCGAGAAGCCGATTCGAACCGCCAATGTTTTCTACACAAAAAAGGTACTTGGTCATAAGCTCTAAAGTTGACCGTTTTCGAGAAAAATCAACTTTTATGTTTAAAAACATGGTCAATTTAAAAAAAAAAAAATTTTATTACTAATTAAACAAAATTTATTTTAACGTTAGAAAAAGTAACAAAACCAAACAATAATTGCAAAATTAAAAAAAAAATAAAAAATGATTTTTTACACAAATGCTGAAATGTGCGAAATGCGTTACCTTTACGGTTTGGAGAATTTAGCAAAGAAAACTTTTGAATCATTTTTTATTTTGCAATTATGGTTTGGTTTTGTTACTTGTTCTAATGTTAAAATAAATTTTGTTTAATTAGTAAAAAATTTTTTTTTTTTTAAATTGACCATGTTTTTAAACATAAAAATTGATTTTTCTCGAAAACGGTCAAGTTTAGAGCTTATGACCAGGAGTACCTTTTTTGTGTAGAAAACATTGGCGGTTCGAATGGGCCTCTCAAAACCGTACTTTTTTTAGGGGCGTAGAAGTTAAGGAGAAAAACACCCGCTACCCCTTCAAAATCTCCACCAATTATGAGGAAAAAAAATTTTTTTCTTGCACAAAACATAGCTTATTTTGAGTAGAAAATGCTTACAAAAGCTGTTTTTTGTACGATAAACGGTTCCGGAGATATTCGAAAAAAACGATTTTTTTTCTAAAATTTTAACACCCTGTATCTCGAAAATTGTGCATTTTAGAGCGTAAGTTAATAGCGACTTTTTTCATATTTTTGGATGAGCTATCACATCCTGAAGTCCTGCGCATATATTATGAAACACCCTGTATATGTAGATGTAAATGATACTAAAAAGTTATAAAACCATTTTATTCCACAACATAAATTAATTTATAATATCAATTTGATCAACGTTTATTTTTACATTTTCTGAAAGTCAAAAAGGTTTCGTCAGTGGTCGCCACATTAACCCCTCCCCGCGGTGAAACTTTAAATGTTTAAACGTTTTGGAAAATTGATGTGACGTATAAAACGCTTGGGGAAAATTGCGAGTGCTGTGACTTAGGCATGTGGGCAGGCTTCAGGTGGTCCAGTGAGACGGTGATGGGTTTGTCCTTGATCAAGATTCGAGAAAAGTCCTGGGTCCGCGCTCCAACGGGTACAGTCCAGTGTACGGCGTTTGGCATCTTGGCGCAAGAACACGTGTGTTGCTGAAAAAAACTCATTAAAAATAAATACTTTGGGTGAAGCGTGACGTGAAGCTTGGACTGGAGGCAGTGCTGTGAAGTGCTCAAGGAGCTGCGAGACAAAACTTCGGTTGTCTGGTGGAGGCTGCGAAGACGTCAGCAGTTCACCAGGTAGGCGAAGTGGTTCTCCGTGGACTAATTCTGCGGCGAAAGGTCTGCTCGCACTGCGTAGGCCTAAAAGAACTACTGGCAGGATGTTGATCCATTGGTCCTTGGAGTGGCATATGAGGGTCGCCTTCAGAAGACGGTGTAGGCGATCGACGATACCGTTGGCCTGTGGGTGGTAGGCGGTCGTGTGAGTAAGGTATCACCCATACGACCGCCTTCCACCCACAGGCCTTGTCTCGTCCGGCTAGTTTCGCTAGGGCACGGAACAAACCTGACTAAAATTTGTGTCCTCTGTTTGTTGTCTCCCGGACGGGGCATCCAAAACGGGCTATCCAGGTCGTGAAAAAAACTTTGGCAACGGCTTCTGAGGTGATTTTTGCCAGCGGCTTCGGTAAATCGGTCCACTACGGTGAAACAGTATCGGAAACAATTTGCGGGGCGAAGAGAGCCAATCAAATCAAATCGATGAAGACATGACTGAAACGGGTACTTTGCATCGTTGATAATGTTAGCAGGTTTTGGTCCAATCGCGGCAATCTTTGCGAAGGCCAGGACAAATGAGGCTCCAGGTCGGTTTTTTGAGAAGTGACAAGGGCTTTGAAGTCTACTGATAATGGCTTCGGTAATTGACAGGGCATCGGCTACATTGTGAGCACCGGGCAAGTGTCGAATATCGGTTGAATTGTAATGAATCTGTAATCAAGAAAACGCAACTGTCGAGGGAAACAGGCGTCGAGCTTTTATTGGCAGGAAAAAATGGACTTAATGGTCCCTCCAGAAGAGCTCTTCTTTGGCTAGTTTAGCATAAAAAGCTTTTCCACGTCTTTTTTAGAATTTAAGGATATATCTTTAGTTGTTTTCAAGTTCATTTAATATATTAAATATTACCAATGATTTTTAAAATAACAATTTAACACTTAAGTTTTTAGTTTATAATCTTCGAGTCTGTCCTAAAAACATTTATCGCTGTTCAAAACGATCCAAGGCCATGTCTTTATACTCGAAACGGAATACCTTTAACAAAGGTGATGTTTGGGCTGTCGTTAGGAAATATACATGTTTAAAAAGCGATTTTTATAAACATCAAGAAAGGCAATAAGCCTTAGTGTCAAGTTTGATGTCCTCCGAGAACTAATATAATCTAGTTTTAATAATTGGTATATATTATATTATAAAACAACATAATTATAAATAATATTATTATTTATTTATGGTTACTAAATAAAAAATACAAATTTTGTATCAATTGAAAATAAAATTTTTTAACAAACGCTATGACAAAAAATCTTGATTGCAATGCATACGTTGCAAAATGGATGTCTTTTAAGCACTTAACGTGGTGGACCACTAGTTACACTCGTGATCTAAATTTTACGTCCCGTGCTTGAAACACTTTTTTTGCAACTTAATATTTTAAACAGCGCGCTGCAGCGTCTAAAAGCCATATTATTCTGCGTTCTTTATCACTTGTTGTTCGGCATGGGCTTTGGGAAGACCAAGGTTGGGATCTTAGACTACCAGGTACTGTTTTTTATTTTATTATAATTATTTTACCAAATTATACTGTTTAGCTCTTAAAATTTAGTTACCCAGGCAAGTAAACACATTATTAACAAATCAAAATAATAAAATTTATTTTATACAAATTTATCAAATAATACAAAACCTCACAGATTGCCCTGGTTTATTAACAAGTATATGCATATTATATAACTAACTAATAAAAGTATACTTAATAAATGTACTAATTTTAATAAACCAACAATATTTAAAAAATTAATACGGTAATTTCATGTTGCTGAAGCATGCGTGGTTTAATCTGTATTCCACATACATCATCCCAGTATTATGCCAATAATATAAAGCACCTACCACAAAAAAGTGCCACCATTGATGTGAATGCCCAATATAATCGAATTTTCCAGCTAAAAATCTTTCTGGTATTTTTGTAAGATATATTACAAATGCCGTTCCACTAATCACATACATTCCAAACACTCTCGGCAAGAGTAGCTAAAATGCCATTATAAAAAAGTGCACTGTGTTCTATGGTTACAACTAAAAGGTATCTCCGAATCTTGTGGTTTTTGCAACCCAGGGCTACTTTTTTGTAAAACGATGCCATAAACCATAAGAAGGCAAACGCGCCAAATCTACTATAACCGATTAGATTAATTAACGTTAGTTAAGTAATTACAGTCGTTTGTTAATTAATTTATATCTCCTAAATAAATAATTAAATAAATAAATGAATCAATAAATTAATAAATAAATAAATGTGATGCGAAAAGGAAAATGGGGCCTCTTGTCAGAAAAAATTAAATTAGTATGTTTCCTCGAGATTTGCTGAGAATTGTTCATAAAGCTTCTTTTTCCTTCTCCCTAAGCAAACACAGTAAAGTGCCATTACAGGTCCAGCAGCCGAATGTCGCCTGGCCCATTGCTTGCCCAGTAAAAATAGCAATTTTTAATGGGCCGGCCAGCAATGGGCTAGACGACATTCTGCTGCAGGATCAGTACCCTCACTTTGCATATGTTTGATTTCTTCATAACTTTGTAGGTTCATTTCAAACTTTAAACTAAATTGAACAGAGAATTCGGTTTCACTGATCGCTTTTAAAACGTTGTAGATAAACGGTTTATTCTCTTTAATTGCTTCGTTAAAACGATGTAAATAGACCGTAGCCAAAATGTTTTAGCATAGCATCGTTACTAAAGAGTCAACCTACAGTAAAAAAAAATCAACAAAATAGATAAGTGGTTCGCAAAAAAATCAACATTAAAATTTTAGCCAATTTCAGATGGCCGTTTTTTTCATATAATTATTAATAGCATTAATGGAGGAGATGGTAGGGTTCTAATGTTGATTTAGATGCCCCAACTATATTCCGGATAATGATCCGGATGATGATCCCATGCAGCGAAGGCATTTATACAGGGTGTTCCGAAATTAGGGGGCCAAACTTAAACAGTGCATTCTTCATAGAAAAATAACACTTTTTTTTTAATAAACATGTCTCAAAAAATGCCCCCTAACGGAGCTACAGCCCCCTGAATAATGATTGAAAAAACAAAAGAGGCACTAGGTCTTTTCAAAAATGTGGTTAACAAGACCATTCCGGCATTACGCATTTTTAAATAACAGGCATGTCATCGGGCTCGGAAAATAACGTGGCTTGATTTTGCCGATTTTTTATTGCCACCAAAATATATATATATAAATTCCTTGTAATCTTGTCGCAAATTTCCGTACGTTTTTACCACAAGATCCTGTTCATCTTCTCGAGTTCGATCCGAGTTTTTAACTTTTGTAAAGTTACGAAGCAATATGGAAAAGGGAAGGTTGTGGTGGCAAATTGTTGTCCATTAATGATCAGAAGCAATTTAAAATCCGCAACGAAATTAAACGGAATATCATTGATCTTTATTAAGTCGAACAGTTTTTTGTCATTTTCATAACTTTCTTTGATGTGGGGCACAATACACAGCATGATTAATTTATGTACACTGGTTAATTTTTTAACCTTTAGAATCTTTACCCAAATAGTATCTGTAGCAAGATCTGGATCAGACAAATAATATTTCGGCAGTATAGTCATACACACTTTAAAAAATCCCTGGCCAACATCTGCCATTATTTTAATGACATAGTTACCAACTAAATTTCTCCTCTGATCTCCTTCAGTATTTCTTCTGAATAACACCATACAACAGGTCTTGAACTTCACTTTTTTCAATATCAAAATCTAATATCTTATATCTGTAAAAATCTTCCAAAACTCTAGCCCTTTTTGCAACTTGCTTGGAATAATGAGCCGGTATTGATTTTCGACCAGCATTTGCTCGAATAAATGTAGCCAATTTTTTCATTTGTTGTCCTGAAGAATCCGAATGAACCTGGTAGGTATGTAAACTTTCAAAAGAAAGCACGATAGGTTCAGCCGATTTTTTGAAATACAGTTTTCTTTTCCTACCCATTAATTCAATAGAGCGTAAATGCCCAAAAACCTTTTCTGATATTTTATCAAGAACAAAACCAACAAACAATTTTTGATGTATAAGCTCACTACAAACCTGGTCTTTTTGCTTCTGTGGGAAATTATTACTTAAGCTTTCTTTTTAAACGATTATGTTTTACACAGGTGGAGGTTATGCTTAACAGGACTCCTCTTTACCTGAATATAAGACGAACCGCATTGGAAGAAGCCCTAAGAACCCAAAGGTCATGAAATAAAAACTGCTCAAGGGAGTTAGGACACCTTAGTATTCTCACAAGGATACCATATTAAAAAGATTTACCACTGGACGATATGAAAATAAAATGTATCTATGATAAAACTTTGAACCAATACTGTCTAAAAAAAAACGAATGGCTGGAAACTCCTCTACTGGTTGAAAAGGAAAGAGGGGCTGGGGATCTTTGGACCATGAAGTCTCTAGATCACGAATGCCTGAAGCAACTGGCAAGAGGTAATAAAATCTGCCTCATTTAGTTACCAGGGCATTCAGGAATTCGAGGAAATGAAAAAGGTAAATTATTCGCAAAAAGGATTCGACGGAACCGCCAATAGGCCCAGAACCATTTTGCGGGAATACAAGGCAGTATATCAAAGCAGAAGTTAAGAAATGGGAGCAAGAGCTTAAATCCTCCAACTGTAACAACCTTGAATAAGCCAATCAAACGCCTATTGAACTGGAAATACTGTGGGGACAACAACCTTTTGCTCCTAATAGTTAGAATCACTACAGGTCACCACAAAGTTAATGCGCATCTAAAAATGATGGGTGTGGTGGATAATGATTCCTGCAGATTCTGTATAGAGGATAAAGAATCTGTATACCATCTTTTGATGAAGACCCCTATCTATGAAGATCTTATAAATATTGATAAAGAACACTAATCTCATACTTCAAAGGTCTATATTTGGACCCAAAGGTAACATAAAAAAACCAGAGCGATGATACAAAAGATCTAAAGGTCGAGGGGCCCTAGGGCTTCGGCGATGCCCCACCCTGTTGTTTAATAATAATAGTAGTAGTATCAGTGCTAGATAATTATTACTAAAAGTTGGTGTAAATTTAAAATATTTTAAATATAATAGCATGTTAAAGTATTTATTCAGAAATGTTTAAATTGATAGAAAAAAATACGTTGTTTTAGCACAAATCGGGACGAAACAAGCAAATCCGGTACAATCTGGGACACTTTATTTTTCTGAGACCGCAGGCCTATTGCAGCCGGGGGCCACAAAATCAAAATAAAAAGATTTTAACATGCTTTAAATGCTATAAATAACGTTTTGTTTTTAAATGATACTTTTATCTTAGAAGATCCCCGCAGCTCAAAATATAACTATTTTTTTGATAAAGCTTTTTGGTCCTGGAGCAGCCAAGGGACTCGAGGGTATACATATTTTTGTTCATCATTACCTATAGGTAAATGGCTGCCATAATATTATTGACAGTAGCAACTTTTTTCAACTCTCGTGTCGGTCGGTTTTTCTGAATAATTTTTCAGCCAAAAACCTTAAACCTCCATAGCTTTAATTTTTTTAAAATAAAAAAGACCTTTAAAATGGCGATTTTAAAGGTCTTTTTGTTTTTAAACATGCCATATATTTTGAGAATGACATTTTTTAATATAAGTACAAGAAAATGTTTTAAAACTATATGGGATGTTAGAATGAATAAACAACAACAAAAAACTTTTAAAATCGCATAAAAAATACCCTGTATAATATTTAAAAAAATGTATTACCAACTTTGCAAAATACAAAATAAAAAACTCAAAAAGGGTTAGTTAAATCTAATCAAACTTCGACATTGGGAAAAATTGCCACTGTCCCTAATAATATGACAACCCAAGGTATATGCACTTTTTGATAAAGGTTTTCGGACCTGGAGGCTCTTACAGCCAAGGGTTCTTGTGCACTGCACTGCGGGCGACAACAGTGTCATATGTAGTAAAACCTTAATTCCGAGATTATGACTGTCAAAGATTTTTGAGTAACAAAATTCCAACATATTTGTAAAATTATATAAACTTACAGTATTTTCTTTGTAAAGCAGGAACCACACTAAGATTCTGAGCCAGTTAAAAATTAGATTTAAAAAAATACTCTTTTTGAATAAGAGCTATTTGTAGATATGTCTGTGTTGCCGTAGAAGGTGTGCATCAATTTTGAAGATGTCTGTATACAGACAATATATTGCTGAAAATATGTGCAATAATTTTGCAGTGTCGATGGTTAAGGCCACTCCCGGAATTTTGTCGCCGGGCCATTCGCCCGATTTAGGCTAGTGGTGTGCAGACAAGGAGGGAAAACATTTTTTTTTTGAGGGACATTTGACTGATCCAAAACTAAGTACAAACCGGAATCCCCCTCAACCAGGGATTTAGTAATTACCCCATTCAATTGGGGTTCATGAATGGGGCTCGGTTGGTTAGTACGCTGCTAGGACCTATCTGGTCCAGATGTTTTTTTTATTTAGGATGAGTTTCTTTTGCCTAGTGTTTATTTAAACTTGAGTGATTAATGACTGCTTATATGAGCCCTTATTTATGAGTTCTTTGCCCATGCTTGCTGTTCTTATGGAAACTTTTGGCGACTTATTAATGTTTACCTGGTGGAGTTCTCTATAAGTTAAGGTTGCGAATTTCGCATTAAGTATTAAGTATTATTAAGGTCATCCAATTTTGGTAGGTTAACTTATCCGGTTTATGCAGACTTGGTGCATTGACAGGCATGTGTTCCTTAACCTCGACAGGCAACTATTAGCACGTGTTGTTTCTGTGTTGGTTATCCAGGAAAAATTATTCGTTATATCCAATCACCTCACTCACACCCTTTTTACAGGAATCCACACGCAATTTGCACCCTTTTTGCACTTGTTTTTTTTAGATCACGTGTAGAATCATTATTTGATTTTATGAATTTGAACACCGATAGCGTTGGTAGCACTATGAAAGTACGAACTCGTTAAACGAGACCCCAGACACACGACCGTTTGCCTTAAGGTGAGGAACGTCATTCTTTTATTGTTGACAAACTTAATTTTACTAACCTACGCTAACAAAATTACTGTCACAACCATAGATAACAAAGCCAACTTACAGCCAACTTACTTATGACACTGTTGATGATTATTATGATAGGGATTATACAAATTACATCTAGGGATTAATTTCAAAAATATCTTTTTGCCACTGTTGCAGCATAAACTATCTAATTTTACACTTATTGCACTAAAAACCCCTAAATTTAATTTTTTCGACTTATGACACTGTTGTCGCCCATGTGCGGTATTTATTATAAAACTTTGGCTTTAGATATGTCATTGTCATTGCCAATAATATGTACCTTTCGGAGGCCACCAACTCCAAATGCCTTTTCCTGAAAAAACAATTTTAGCGTTATTTTTATTAGACTATGGAAGTCTTTTCAAGATTTGGGGACCCCCTAGACCATGGGGCAGGGCCCCACCTTTCCCCTTTAGACTGCCACTGGGCACTTTAGCCTAATTAAATAAAACTAATTTAAAAAAAAAGGAATTGTTTAAAATCAATTGTTTTTAAAGATTTTTCTTTTAAAGAAGCATTTTTTAAATTAATTATTTTTAAACAGAAACATTGCGTACTAATAGATTGGTCGATGGTAAGCCTTAAGGCTCAAACACAATGGGACGGCGTTCGATACGTCAAAAGTCAAACCAAAGTTGAAACAATGCAAATGCATGATACCGCACACAATGTACGGCGTTGAATGCCGCCCGACGCTGACAGTTGGTCAACTTTCTACTTTTACGCCGTTATCGCTGGGAACCTGACCTCACTTTCTGTAAAAAGGCGGCAAAGTTTGCATTTGTCATCTGTCTATGGTTTTTAAGATGGATTTGTGAAAAATGTATAAGCTATAGCGATATATACGTATAGCGTACGCTATAGCTTATATGTGTACATATATACATACAATTGAAGGTTTTAACAAACACCTTGTTCATTTAGTACAAGGAAACGAAATTATATAAAAGGTGAAGTGCCACTTCAGAAGTGGATATAAAAACAAGACAGTAAACTTTTAAACTTCTTAACCAATAGGTACTGCAGTACACCATGGTGTAAATAAAAAAATAATAAAAAAATAATAAATTGTAACACTTTCCCTTTTCTATGTAATAAATGTCACTTAACGGCGTTTGCAGCCAAGATTTCAAAACGTTGCGATTGCGTTGCGTTTGACGCCGTCGAACGCCGTCCCATTGTGTTTCACACACTAGAATAAATGCAGTAAAACGTTGCAAAACCATCGTGCGTGGCTTATACTGTAAAAAACACATTAATTTCGAAAAAAACTAATCCTAGTAAAACACACGTGCATAGCGTAGGCCTATGCAAAACTGTTTGTCGACGAGTTTTCGTTTTATAACCAGTTTTACCGGTTTTTGTGTATCGTGGTTTTAACCAGGATTTCGATCTTAACTCCTGCTAAAATCCTGGGAAACATATATACATAAAATATTTTGATACCCATTTTCTTTATCACAATGGCAAAACTATCGTGTATCTAAAAAAAATCTATACCCAATAATACTGTTTATATATTATATAAAAAAGTAGCAAACGTCGGACATATCTTAAAGTCTTAACCATAACTGAACACAACTTCAATAAAATTTAATCATACCGCAACAACTGGATTTTCAAATCCTCCCATTAAAATACTCCAATGAAAAGTAGGAATTACTCCATAAACAGCCCAACCAACAAAAATTAACATTTTTATCCAATTTTTAACGTTTAAACTTGGAATTTGCAGAATCATAGCAAATATAAATATTATTGTTACTGAAGCAAGGTAAAAATATTGAAGTTCCTAAAAATATATTAAGATTTTTGTATCAAGCATTATTAAAATTCATAATAAAATAAATATGGGATAAGGGATTTTAATTAAAATAAATGAAAGAATTTCAGCAAGCTTTTCGACGACAACCAAAGAATCGCTAGAAGTTACATGACCATTTTATTAAAATCATTTTCTTCAAAATCTTGCAATACAAACATTTTATTATAAAAATAATACAAACCAATAGGTTTACAGGGTGAGTTTTAGTTTACGCTTTTTTTTCTAACACTGGGGCAGGGACTCTTAAAACCTGACAGAAATTAATAAAATGAAATGTAATCTAAAAATACCCACTTATACCAGTTAAATAGGTATGTAGGGATTTGATGTTTAGGTTGGTAGCTCTGAAGATCCGCTATACTGTGATTAAAAAAATAATAAAAAAGCTCTGTTCTTTTTAATGTTGTAAATTTGACAGTTAAATAAGTTTTATTTCTACCTTCTTAGTAAATGACATTTTATAGGTTAATTTTGTTGTTTTTGTATCTAAGTAAACGATACATTATGGGAACAGACCTGTAATATTTTACGGGCTAAGACCTGTAAAGTTTTACAGACTTGTAGAAAAGCAATTTATGAAATTAAATGTAACATTTGACATATTAATTAAAATTTTAAAATTAAAATTCGTTATCTAAAGGTGAAAATAAAAGTTTGTACGTGTCACGCTTTGCAATTAATCTTTACTAGGCTCACTGGATTATGGGGTTCGCTCCTGGGTCGCTCACCCCACAATTTTTCAGCTCGCCCGTAAAGATTCATTTACAAAGCTTGACACGTAAATAACTATTATTTCCACCTTCTTAGTAAATGACATTTTATAGGTTAATTTTGTTGTTTTTGTATCCAAGTAAACGATACATTATGGGAACAGACCTGTAATATATTACGGGCTTGTATAAAATACCTGTAAAGTTTTACAGGCTTGTAGAAAAGCAATTTATGAAATGAAATGTCGCATTTGACATATTAATTAAAATTTTAAATTTGGCAATCGTTATCTAAAGGTAAAAATAAAAGTTTGTACGTGTCACGCTTTGCAATTAATCTTAACTAGGCTCACTGGATTAAACAAACTTCCAGCTCGCCCGTAAAGATTCATTTACAAAGCTTGATACGTAAATAACTATTAATAATACACATAAAAAAACAAAAATAGTGTAGTGTTAATCCTCACATGTACTTTACTTACTGACCCACCTTTCGGCAGTATTTCAAAGTTTGGGATTGTACCCAGATCGCCACAATTGTGGTTAACCTTAAGGTTGCGCTATAGCGCAACCTTAAGGTTAACCTATATGTTTACCACTTTAATGGGCAAGGGCTGTGCGTAATTTATTTATTTGCGTATTTAAAGCGTATTCTTTATATACCTACGGTAACGTACCTAATTTATAACTTGAGAATTTATTAATATTTTTTTGAAATCTTGTATAATACAAAAACTTAAATAAAAAAAATAAGTGACAATATTTATTAAAAAAAATAATAATAAACTTAAATAATTATAATTTTATATGGGTTCCCAAGTGTTGCATTTTTTTAAACCACCCCCTATAATTGACTTTTAGAAAAACCAACACTATGAATTCGGCAATCCCAATAATAGTAACACCAACAGGCTTTTTTTTCTAAAATATCTGCACTGATAACTCAATTAGACATTATAAAAACACAACATTGATGGTATCTAGTGGATTTAAAATATAAGCTGAAAATATAGTCTCTTATCACATGATACGGCTAGATACGTATTTCGATTCTTTATATCCTTGGTACAATAATATTACGCCACCAACTTACAAAAATATCTAATACATGGTACATTGACTAAAAATTATATTCTTATTTTTTTTGGCACTTTGGTCACAGAGAATCACAAGGGGCTAGAAATAAAGATTTTTTTCTACTCCCACCTTTAAATCGCCCTTTATCGTACATGTTTCCATGACACTAAGTGACCTTTTAAATACACATTGACAAGTTGTGGCTTTATGGCGCTTTAGTCACGTGCTAAAGTTAGTTTTAAGTTAGTTGACAGTTGTCAAATGTCATACAATCGTTAAAATAAAATGCCTTTCTTGTAAAATAATACTAAATGTAAAATTATTTTATTATCTAAATACAAAAATACAAAAAGTATTAAATAGTTTCTCAACGCCAATATTTGAAAAGTTTATATGAACATTGTACTGACCTTTTAATTTCGCCGGCAGTAAACTATAACTTAAATTCGGACACGGACACAACTGTAAAGTCCTCATAAAACATTTTCTTTACTTTCACTGTGAAAAACTGCAAATTTTCATGAAATACATTTCGATATATAATCTGGGTTTATAAAATAAAAAAAATTGACATTTGACGTTGACACACAGATTCCCCTATTGTTTCATAGATGGCGCTCTATACAAATGTTTGATTTAAATCATTTTAAGATAATAATAAGAATTTGCCGTAGAAAAAGTATAGTATGCACCTCGTTTATAAACTTTTCTATACACTCATTAATTTAAGCACTCGCTCGCAAGCTCGCTCGTGTCCAAATTAAATTCGTGTATAAAATGGCAAACTTGATACATAATATACTATAAACTATATATATATACTATAAACGAGCAAAAACCAATGAAGTGTAATCCACTAGAGATGTTTTTAATTTTTTTTATTAACTTTAGATCCTGTAATTTCTGGTAAACAGAAACCCAAAAAGAACAATCCTCAAAATCTTTATTAGCTATGTTAAAAGCCGAATTTTTTAATATACATAATATTTAGTGACAAAGAAAGGTAATGATGATTAAGATTACACAGGCCGGCCTAGGCCCACAAAAAAAGTGGAATGAACTACCCCTTGAGCCGCTGAATCCGAATCCGGTATCAGAATTTCCCCTGGACCCCCCATTTTTCCCCTAACCTAGGGGAAATGCGTGAAATCTTAGAAATATCAGTATCTGTGAAAGCAATTTTGATATACGCAATATTAAATGAAACGATATTGTTTTCACGTTTCTGGAAGGTTGTATTTTTGAGCAATAAAGCTTATATATTTTCATATTTTGAGTTCCTGAATTCATATCTGACGTAAAAAATGTTCCACACTACTTTAGAATTTCCCTAGCCTAGGAAAAAACGTAGAAAATTTTGCAAAAATCGAAGTTTCATGCAGCCCTTTTTTGTACGGGAAAGCTGATGCCCTGTTCATTTCTGTCATCAGAATTTGTATCCAGCTCCTCACAATTAGCCTACGAAAAATGTGAAAACATAAGGGAAAATTTCTTAGGTAACTTTAAAAGCGACAATTATGAGAAAATAGTGAAAAACATGTTGCAAAAATTTTAAGAAGACGGAAATATATAAGCTTTTCGTACGAAAAAGGCATACATGAAACTTCGGTGTTTACTTCGGTGTTTGCACAATTTTCTACGTTTTTCCCTAGGTTAGGGAAATTCTAAAGTACTATGGAACATTTTTTACGTCAGATATGAATTTAGGAACTCAAAATACGAAAATGCTCAAAAATAGAACCTTCAAGAGAAGTTTTGCGCAGCTTAACACTTTTTCTCCTAGGTTAGCGGACTTCTGAGGTACTCTAGGAAAATTCTACAGTGAGATTCGAACTAAGCGACTCGAGATACGTGAAAACATGATCGTTTTATTTAATATTGCGTAGATAAAAAATGGTTTTACAGATACTGAAATTTGTAAGATTTCAAGCATTTCCCCTAGGCTAGGGCAAAAATAGGGGGTCCAGGGGAAATTCTGAGATAGGATTCGGATTCAGCGGCTCAAAATCCATAGTATACCATAGTATACTCACATGTAAAGTTCATTCCACTTTTTTGTTTTTGTAGGCCTGTGTTAAAAAATAGTTACGATGCATTAGCGTGTCTTCGAGAATATTGATATTGATTGATTTCAAAAATATTTCCCTTTAAACCTGATTTATAGATTTCCTTCCTTCCTTCCTTACTCCCGTAAACGATGATAAAATTATGATAATGATGAACAGTGGCGTATTTAGGGGGGGGTCCGCCGGGTCCGGACCCCCTCGGGCGCACATATTTTATTATTTTTATTACAAAAAAAAGTTTAAAAAAAATAAAAACCTCAAGACTGTCAACGTACTTTATTATTTATTAATTATATTTAAATATAAAATCATTAAAATCAAAAATCAACTACTTACGTATTAAAGAGAAAGAGGTGCCGATTTTGAAGAACTTTGTGAAACCTACCAAGAGGACCTCACTTTGTGCAAAAACGATATATTATCAGAATATAAGTTATGGTGTCAAAATATATTCGGTTTGAAAGAAAAGCCACAAAATGCATTGGATGCTTTAAAACTATGCAACACAGAGTTTTATCCCAACATCTTCCGTTTGCTTCAAGTTTTAGCCACTCTACCGGTATCGACAACAACACCAGAAAGAACATTTTCCAGTTTAAAGCGAATAAAAACGTATCTAAGGAATTCTATGTCTGAGGTAAAATCCTATTTTCATTTAATAAATTACTACTAAATTAATTGCATTTTGGTCCTATTTACTAACTTAGGTCTATCTTTTAAGGGTCGACTTAATGGTTTGGCAGTTCTATCCATTGATAATAATATAGAAATTAGTCCCGAAAAAGTTCTGGATGAAATGGCGAAGAATCCACGGCGATTGGAATTTTTAATTTAATCAAAACAAAAATGTTCCTTTTTTAGAAAGTTCCTTTTATTTTCTATTTTATCGGATCAGAAGAGTTCCTAATTTGTGATTTTTTAGTTATTAAAGCATAGCATAGTACATATTTAGTTAGTTTTTTTGTACCCCCCCCGGAGCTAAATCCTAAATACGCCACTGATGATGAATGATTGCTCATCTTTTACGGGAAGAAGGAAGGAAGGAAGGCAATCTATAAATCAGGCTTAACATGATAAAAGATGACTGCTTAATTTTCGTTATTCAAATATTTAA